AATCGTTCTTTAAAAATTTCAATCGTTAGCTTTCGGTAATAATTTGAGCACAGAAACTGTTTTACTGTATAAATATACAGAAGTGACAAGAAAAAATTTTAAAAACCATTGATTCAAAGATTTTTTAGAAAGCGTATCATGTCCCTTTAATATTTCTTTAACATTGAATAGGTGAGGCATAGTACTTGAGACGATTAAATACTCGTATTAATTTCACCATCAAAATGAAAAATGTAAGATAATTACAAAACATTAGAGCAAAATTTAGATTTTCTTCATACGTTATGCTTAGATTTAAGTAATTCATATTTATTTTCTGAATTCGTATATACATTAATGGCAATGGTATAAAATTTTAGCCTAGATACTTAATATTTTTCTTAACAAACGCGTACCTTTAAAACATAATTTTATACATAATTTTGGAGCACTTTTTAATTTTCCAAAGTTTTAAAACCTCGCATATTTTTATATAAGCATGTTTTTATTTCATATACTAAATCATATAAGTAAATATATATATATATATATATATATATATATATATATATATATATATATATATATATAAGTGGCAGACTTTTACACACACACCGAGAAAATGCAACAAGCATGAAATCTTAAAAATGATATAATTTGTTTTTGGCTGAAGTAAGAGATATGGGCTTCAGTGAACTTACATTTGATACTTATGTTGACCACATTTTCTCAGAAGTTGTTGATTGATCACCTTTCTTTTCCATATGAAAACATGTTTATGCGAAACGAGTTTCAAAAGTTATCTAAGCTTCAAAGTAAGTTAAATTAAATTTCTGACGCATTACTAACGGTACAGTAAATTCTGTTTATGCTAATCTTAAATTTTGTTTGTGAGTTCATTAGAATGGTTTCAAACTCCCTTTATTTTGATTTTGCTTAATGTATTTATCTTATTATACCTCCAAAACAAGCATTCAGTATTAAAAAATTCCTATTTTAATTATTTATAATTAAGGAGTTCAAAGTTTTATCAAATTTCTTAATTTTCCAGTTTTCTTTATAAGGTATTTAAAGTCCATCTTTAAATAAAATATACTTATCTTAATACTAGTTTTCTAATAATGTAACTTACAGCTCAGAGTCCCTACATTATGAACACCATTCACCTAGTAGAATGAGTTCACCTAGAGATTATCATTATTGTGAAAATATTTCCACCAGGTACATCAGGCGTTTTAAAAGTAAAGATTTTAATGAGGAAGTTCTTCTCCGATAGGGCAATAGAGGGCCATGTAACATCGGTTTTAAAGTATAGAGTAAAAGAAAACCACCTGATCTAACGCGTCATGCTTCTTTTTCTATCACATAGATGGGTGAATACAAATATGCCTATTTACAGCCGAAATCTTGGCCACCGACGGCACAATTAACCATATACAAGGTGATGGTGGTGGAATTAAAGTGTAAGCCATGTTTCAATTCAGCAAATTAGGACAATTCGTTACCATAGATTAATACCCGACTGTGTTCAACCTAAAGATCAAAATAAACCAGGTGCAGCTCTTTATGGCAACAGTGTTTCTAACGGTTGATGGTGTTTAGCAACAAAATAATACACCATGTCATAAGAACCGAATCGTAGAACATTCTGGTGAATTCTAGGTCTCCCATTACGCATGAACCTGCATTCAAATGAACATCTGCAGTTTCACTGTGAGAGTCGAATTCGTTCTGCCATGCTACCATCACGCAATTCACAGCAACTTCAAGATTAGTTGGTGAATAATTCATAGCAAATACCTCAGACTACCTATCAGCAACTTGTAGAATCAATTACTCATCGGATGTTGGTAGCTTTGATGAAGAAAGATTGTTCTGATTCATATTAAACAAGGGCTCATAATGTAATGGCTCTTCACTGCATTGTCCTGTAAAGACGCAGGTCACAAATTCGTGCTGGAACACTCCGCTTTCCAGAGGGTAGCAAACTTTTTATTGTTATTATTCCCAGTAGCATTAGGGCTAGTATGGTATTAATAATCAGAAAATGCAATAATTAAAGATGAAAAATGTTTCTGGGTCTTTAAGGAATAAGATAATTTTGGACCAGTGCAGGAAGGAGAACGATGAAGAACCAGATATTACTTTGAACTGTACGGGCTTTATCAGCAACCGCAAATAACACAAATTTTACGTAGTAGTAGATTAAGATGGCTTGGCCATATTTGGATCGGCTCGGAAGATATTTGCAATAAGACCTTGGCATTCAAAAAACCCTGAGGTAATTAGAGCTAAGAGAAGACTGCCAATTAGATGGATAGATTGCATTGAGAAAGACTTAATTATTTGAAAATTAAAAGCTGTAGAGGAGCGCGTGGTTGAGACAGCTGTGCCTTTGAAAAAGAAAGGAATAAGAATGTCTAACTCACACAAACCGACACGACCGTGCAAGCTGGGTCTTAAAGGGTTATGCTTTATTAGAGAATCGATGCTGAGATTATTATATAACTTATTTTTCTAAGCAAAGGGAAACATTTGTATTAAATAGTTATTAAGAATAGTTTTATGTGAGATAGTATCTTGCTTTTGATAGAGGAATTTGCAATAATTTAGAAATTTCAAATGAGTTTTTTTTTTATTATTGAAAACAATTATGAAAACCCCGTGCACCACAAAGTATCACACGGGGCTTACAGAAGTAAGTATTAAGCACACATTCTAGGGAAATAAAAAGGTTTAAACAAAATGAAGTTAAGAAGAATTACAAACAGTTACAACAAATTCACAGAAATTTTTGAAAGCACTTCTGGGGGGAAAGAAGTTGGTGAAAATTCGGTGTCCAATTAATGTTAAGTCTCTTGAACGCCAGTCTTATGATCTTTCTCTCTCTGATATTCTTGGAACACAGAAGGATTGCATGTTCTACATTTTCCTCGCCACCAATATTACAGTCATAGGAAGATGAAGGAACTAAATTAAATTTGTTCAAGTAGCTTTTTAAATTACCATGACCAGTGAGAAATTGTGTTAATTTGTAGTTAGTGTAAAATTTATATGATAGTCTCTTATTAATGGTAGAGAAAAAAATCTTTGTTATGCTCCCTTTATTAGAAATGAGATATTCTTGGTTCCAAGATTTCATCATTCTTTTTTTCGTGATTTTCTTGTAAAACGATTTAGGAATATTAACGTCAATGTCAATTCTGCGCTTGGTTGCAGCTTTTGCAAGCCAATCGACTCGCTCATTCCCAAGAACGCCCGTGTGTCCACGAACAAATGCAAAATCTATTGAGGTGTTTTTATCTCTTAGGCTTTTATGTTGCTTTTGGATCTCGAAGATTATGTTGTTAGATGAAGAAATACATTTAAGAGAATCCAAGGAGAAAATAGAGTCAGTACAGATGAGATATTCTGAGATGACACTATTTTGCTCAATGATCCATTTAACGGCGAAATTTAAACATAAAAGTTCAGCTACAAAAACTGTGCATTTATCACGAATTCTAAATTGAAAGTTCTCGGATTCAACACCACTCCTGAACACAACAAATGCGAAACCAACTCTTCCATCAATTTTACTGCCATCAGTAGAGCAAATAACAGGGAAATTTTATGTGCTTTAATGAATGAGGATTAAAATTCAATTAACTGCATAAGTCTTAAATTATCATTATGTATTACGAAAGAGAAGTAATATTAAACTTTGATCACATTAAAAAAACTTAGATTTAACTCTGATCATTAAACTTTGAAATTAAGTTTTCCTCTTTTAAAGCTTTTAGTAACAAATAGTGTGAATTATTTTAATTAAATTTAAGAAAGCTTGCGCTTTGTTAATAATAGAAATGTGAGATTATAAATAAAAATCATAATTATACCTTTAAGTTTAAAAGATTAATTCGGAAAATTTCTGTCACATTCTCGATAGATATTCAAATGTTTACTACTTCCATGCATTCATTCAAAATGCATGATACTATAAGTGTTGCTTTAATATCTTAATTAATGTTCCGTTATTTTTTCTCTTTTACACCAAATTAATTAATTTTATAATCAAATTATAAATCAAACTTAATTCTTGCTGTATTTGAGAAAAAGAGTTTCCCGGTACAGATTCAAAATTTTTATCCTATTGCAAATAAAAATATTTCAACTTTCGTATTATTTATAAAATATACAATTTATGAATAATTATTATTTGATTAAGTATTTTTAACATTTTGCTATGTTTTTGTGTATTTGACCTCCAACTAACCTCTCTAATATTCCTTGTTTTATCTGCCAACTTTGGCTTTAATGTCTGATACAATTTTCTAAAACATTTGCATCTGTTATAAATACATTTACGATTTTTTTTTCAAAACCTTCCAGCTAGAAGATGGAGAACAAATCATGGAATCTGCCTGGTGCGGATTTCCTTTCAATGACCCCAATAGAAAGTGGGAGACTCTCATGCTTTGCTCTACTTTCCTGTTCTTTGTGGTGCCAATGACTCTTATATCCGTGCTGTATTTTCGAATTTCTCTCACTCTCTACAGAGCTCGTAACTTATATAGGATAGGAACAGCTGGAGAAGAAAGAAGTGATGGACAAAGAGCTCGGATTAGGTCCAGGATGGTCGTCATAAAAATGCTCAGTTAGTATCTATTTTTATATATTATTGGATGATTCAAAAGTTTAATTGAATATAGGGAAAATAAAAAAAAAGTTGATTGTTGAGTATTACAGGAAAGCAAGTAATAAATAAAAAAATAAGCCAATTACAATTTAGGTCAACATAGAAAAGTTTTATTTTAGTTACTTTTTATTAAATAATTACAATTACTATAAATATGTATATACATATAGCAGAATCATAATATTAAGTGGCAAAAAAGAAAGTGATTTTCCTTGTAATTTTCCATTTTATATATGGTGTTGGACTATTATTTTTGTTTGTATTACTATTTATTAATTAATTAAATTTAATTATTCCAATGAAATGGTATAGTAAAAATAAACCACATTCTCAGTAACTAGGCCATCCCAGGTGGGATTCGTACTCACGACTTTTGGATTAAAAGTCCAACGCGATGCTCATTGCGCTACAGAGACTCAACGAGCTAGTTTTATTTTTACGTAAGGTGTAGGAATACCATTTTTGATTCTATTTATTCACTAATTAAATAGAATTCACTAATTGATAAAAACAATTAATAATTGAAAAAACTGTATTAACATCAAGTGTCACCCACTATAATTTTAAAAAAATGTATTTGAGCTTGAGTGGATGAATAAAAAGTATTTTATTGCAAATGACGACTTCCAGCAGAATTGATGTGTTCACGAAACCTTCCCTTTAGCGCTATCTACCGCAAGAATGAGTGTAGTAATATTCCTAACGTCAACAATTCCATGCAGGGTCGCTGTCAAACTTACCAGATGATTTCTGGTCGTAGTTTCAAACACCTTTTGACCAAGTTTTCAATAAAATGTTTTCTCTCTTGTTAAAGTGTTGATGTTTCTGTTCTTTTTCTCTGCTTCTTTGCACGATAGCTCTCGAATACAGCATAGGTGCCCCTACATTCCAATGTGATTCCAATTCATCTTTGTAACCTCTACACACTTTACAAGTTTGTTGGTATGGTAGGAAATTACCCTGTATTTCTGGTTATGAATTACAGAATTAAACAATCATTGTAGTTTAGTATACATATTTAATATGTGCATTTAGTACATCATTATTTAGAATCATGCATATTTAGATGAATACCCTTCTGATCTCAATGATAAATGTTATGAAGCATCCATAATTATAGGATTGCAATGCGATATTAAGCATGATGAATGATTTAAATTATACTATAACAAATAGTCTATTGATGTTATTTGTTTTACAGCCAACTAAAAAAATCTGTTATAAAGTTTAATTTTAAAGTCTCACTCCTTCAAAAGCTAGTATGAAAATTTCAAGATTTTAAAATAATTTCCTTCTTTCTAGTTTTTATTATTAGTTCCTTCTTTAAAATTCAAATTTTTGATACAATAAGTAATGTTTCTTATCTATACACAGTACTTATATTTTAATAAAAATTGTTCATCATAAAGATTTTGCTACTTTCGTGTGGGAAAGATATACAAATATAAGAAATATTTCATGAACCAAACTTAAAATTTTTCTTTGTGATTATTCAAAAAACAAATTGGTTCATTTAGTTACCCTACATTAATATAAAGTTTTGAATTTTGATAAAAAAATTTCCAATTATCTCTCCACAATTGATTTCAGTAACATATTTGAACTATTTGCTAGAAATAAAAAAAATTAAATTGTCTATCGAATGTTTTAATGTGTGATATTCCCTCAGTGATTTCCAATACATAAATTTTTTTTAATGCACACTTTTTAAAAAAAAATTGAATAATTTTTACTATTACAAATAAAGAATGACAATCTTTCATGTTAAAGAAGTAAATTCATTGCAAGTGACATAAGAAAGAATTTATAATAGCTTTCTAATCGTCAAATGATAAGAAAATTTTTTCCATCGTCCCTCTATTCAACAAAAGATAATTATCAAATATAAAGTTTATTGAATTAGTAAAAAAATATATAATAATTCGTTATTTATAAGAACACTATTTGAATCATTAATCTTTCATTAAAAAAGTTTAAATAATGTATTGTTTCGTTTGTTTCATAAGCGTATTATATTGTATCATTGAATTCATTTTTTTGTATACATTAATATTACATCGCATTCCAAATATCTTTTATTCAATACAAATTAAATTGTATCTTTCAGTTATAAAATTTAGGATTACTGTTATGCGGCAACTATACTTCGAAATATCTTTTCTAAAAGTAAAACAAATATCTTACGTTATTAAAATCGATGTTTAATTTCCCATGGTATTATAGAAGCTAAATAATCAATTAATAAAATATTCCGAGAACTATTCCTTTAGAGCATCTAAATCTTTAATTTGATCTATGTTACTATTGGACATTTTGAGATTATTGTTAATTTCAGATAATCAGTAATCAACTATTACTTGCTAGATTAACTTCCTTTTAAAAGAAAATTTACTTCTCAATTTTTACTAACCCTAATTTACGTTTATACAAGAAGAAAAGATAATGTTTGTCAAAAGTATTCTTTTTTTGATTTTTAAATTGGCATTATTTAGTCTTCAACGTGTTTTAGGTATGTTTCTTTGTTGATAGAACTAAATAATAAATCTAACTTGTCATCTGGAATGTATGCAAAATTATACACTTTATAAAATATATATAGATAGTTATTCAACATATATTGAGATATAGCTAAATATTAATTACAATATAATACACATTTTTGAAAGACAAGGCAAACATCCATTACTAAAAGGTACTTTAGAAAATAGGGGATTTTTCTTGTGTAATGCTATTGAGGATGGTGTCGTCAGAAGTTCTGATGTGTTGAAAATACGAGATTTGTAAATAAAATAGTGGTAACATTGTCCAAAGAGTCTCAAATGATCAGACATGGGCAAACAGGATACGGAAGTTTTGAGGTGGCCTTGCTATCGATGTGCCAAATACATTAAATAGTCGATCCATTTAGAAGTGATTACAGAATCATAAAAAAATTACATTTATTCTCCTTTTTCTAAAAGTCCGATTTCCTCATCCAATCAGAAGGAATCTATTCAAATGTGGGCAAAATTTCCACATCTAATATACATCGAAAAACAGTGAGTTGACTTGGTGGCTTAGAGTTAGCGTTCCCAGTCTCGTAAGTATTCCATGGTATTATAGATTTACATATACTCGTATAAATTATTGTTTTAAAATATAATATTTTTCGTTAACTGTTAAACTAATAACTGGGATTTAAACTTACAGTAAATAAACATTTATATACACATAAGTGAGAGGAGCTCTCCTCACTCTCTCACTGCTTTTGAATAAATTTATATTTAGAAGACAAGATCTTTTTTCCCCCTTTCATCTTTAAATGTGTACTATCTTTTTCGTACTACTTATAGGGCCTACTTATGCTATTTCTATTGTTTATCATTTTTACATTTCCTATATAGTGTACATGAGTGAATACTTTTTCTTACAGTGACTGTTGTTGTGGCATTTTTTGTGTGTTGGGCTCCATACCATTCTCAAAGGTTGCTATTTCTCTACGTTTCTCTGTATGGAGAATGGACAGAAACATTGAGAAAACTTAACCAAGACTTATTTTCACTTGCAGGTAAATTCCTATTTCTCAGATATTTTAAAACTATTTAAAATACATTTCATAATCATAGTTTTAGAAAGCTGATGATTTATAATTAACAAATTGAAAATAAATGCATATTTAGGCATATTTCTAAGTGGAATAACCCCCAAAGAATTATATTATTAGGAAGAAAAGCAACTGCTATTTTTTTAACCCTCCGCTAGGCGTGCGGCAAGAAGATCCATCCTTAGGGGCGTGGCCTCTCTCAGGTTAAAGCGTAATGTAATATCTAAAATATTGACAAATACTGGAGTTTGTCTAAAATTAATTTTTGTATTATCTATAGCATTACCCACCTATAAAAATAATGAGTTGTTAGTGAAGTAATAAATTATAGATGGATGTACCTATCTATCTGCAACGTCCAAGTATTCAATGGCCAATAGGGATTAAATGATACAAAGCAAAGGAGGTATTACGTTTTAAAAAGGAGGGAGGGAAAACCAGGAATGTAGCCCAAACAATTTTTAAAAGTAATTTCGCGTATGGATTTGTATATTAAAAAATTAGGGGGAGAAACATAAGCAAATTGAAATTCTCTTTGATAATCATTATAATAAACAAAACTAGTTATGTTTATAAAAAATATATGAATGTATTTAATGCTGTAAGAATTTTCAATGAATTGTTTTGGTACAAACTTAACCTCGTTAGGTACATAAATTTGTTACACTCGGTCGTAATGTAATATTTAAGATGTAATCAGAAATTTCAGTTTAAATAAAAAACAATTCACAAAGGCAACGGTTAGTTATAACTGCCACACTATCTATTTACATTTTAAGATCCTTTGTGTCAGTCTTGACAAATCATTTCTTACTATGTTCAAGGCAGATGAAATTAGCCAACAAAATTTTGATAGGCGTCCATGCTTCATCTCTTGAGAAGGAGGACAGTACTTTGTCTTCTAAGTTCTTGGTATTGTTTCGCTTGGCTCTTCGTTTTGTACAAAACGTTACAAGTCAGATGTTTCTTTAATCCTGAGAAGTAATGAACGAAGTGTGTGAATATTACTCTCAAGCCATAATCGCGAGGCATCTCTCAGGTGCATGTCAGTTCCCAGCAGGAGAATCAACTTAAAGCAGTGCTTCTCAAACATTCAATACTGGCGCCCCCTTTTCAAACACAACTTTTATCGCCCCCCTTATACATTAATAATAATGCACTTTGACGCCAAAGCAACAATCTTTATTATAAACCGTACAAATTCATGACATAATTATTAAATTTTGTATATGTTACATCTAGGCAAAATGATAATTATTATGTTATTTTTCCTTTCTCTAATTTTTAAATTGGAACACATTGCAGAATGCGGTGGTTGCTTCGAAATCAAAATATAGATATCAGCTAAATATAGAAAAATAACTCAGAGAATCAATTTCTAATCATAAGCATTCCTTTGAAATACTTTGCTCTCCAAAAAAAGCCCATGGAAGTCACAAATACTTGTTAAAATTTTTCTTAATTTAGTGTTAATTAGTTATAAAATACTCTGTACAGCACTGATACATTAAAAGTATATTGGCTGAAGTACCCGCTCTTTTCACGAGTTCACTTATAAGAAAATAAAACATTGTTGATGGAATCGCTGAATCGCAAGGAGAGTAAAGCCAAGTGCGCGACAATGTTTACAAAAATGTAAAATGATTTTTTAAATGATTGCTCAAATTATAATTAATTTTAAGTGAACTGTAATTTTAAGCCTCACGGAATTAGCATTTAGAATTAATGTTGAATAATGAAAAATAAAAAAAAATCTGATGAAGAATAATTGTATTATTTTTAATATTTAAAACGAAAAGACTTCAACCTGTTTTAACCCTGGAGCAGGCGCGC